ATAAATATCACGGTGGCTCAGCTTAGGTAGCAAACATACCTTGACATTGATGGTCTCGTACGCTGGTTACTCAGAAGGGTCATGCGAGTCAGTTGAACGAACAATACGGATAAATTGAAAGCCGTTTCTGTATATATATCCAGATTATTTAGAATAGGAGCCAGCGTAATGAGATGTCATACGTTGCGTCTCTGCATCTAGCCGTTTGTTGAGGAAGCACAAGACGGAGACAAACAACAAGTTAGCATGACCTAAGCCAAATCGGGATGGAAAGAAGCACATGAAACGGTTGGTATACATTAAATCGGTAAGGGCAGTGACCTGAAGTATCATTCTAATTAATCACTGCCATTGCTTGTGAGGCAAACAAGGCACAATTACCTCTATAGTGACACCATTTCTGTGTCTGGTGCAACTTCGGTGGTGACCGATATCAGTTTCCGGGCTCAGTTATTCTGAGCGCAGGGCCGCTCAGAAAGGCGCTTACCTAGTAAGTGCTAGCGCTCTACAGGAAGCGGTGCATGTAGCTTAGTAAGTCGCGATCTGATGAGCCGTAGCTACATGTACCTCTACCTATCTATTATCTCTACAGTTCGTAACATCTACGTGTGTGTGTGTGTGGTCGTCCAGCGGACAAGGCTGCAGGCGCACGCCCTGGCGCGACGGTACGATCGGCGCTAGCGGGCCGCACTTAGCCGCCGGTGCTGGCGCTCTGCACTGTGCAAGCTACTATTTTAGCATGCTCCGTCTTTCAGTAGATCAATCTATCGCTAGACCTCGGCGTATCCTCTGGAGGCCTTGATCGCACTGTCATTATGCGCTTGATCACAGTATTGGACTTGTGTAAGGGACGCTTGCGCTCATGGACCAAGGCATGACTGAAGCTGGTGACAGCTCGCAACGGAAGGGTTGTAGGCACCAGGCGCCTTGATCTGTGTTTCACTGTAACGATTCTGTCTCCACCTCATTTGTCCGTCTAGCGTGTAAGCCAGGATCCCGATAGCGCAAAGCTCCGATAGCTGTGAGCTGTTGTGAGCCACTCGCTAATTACCTAGCTTAATGATGTCGCAGGCTAGTGCAAGGAGGCGTCTTTTCATCAGATGAGCAGCTGTTGCCAGGAGTGTCTGATTACTTCAGTAACTATACCAATTCAAATACTTTCAAGTGTATATCGTCGCTTAAATGGGTTCTTTTACTTCAATGAGTCCTGGAACCTGGTCCACCCTCTTCACGATGAGAATGCCGAAGACCGGACAAAATATGCCAAATACCATCTTAACAAGACACTGACCAGCTTCTGGCGATCTATTTACTTCACGGATGAAGTCCACTTCAGCAGATCTTGCATACAAATCTCAATGGGGGATACGCTAGCGTAGACAAACACAATTAAAACTACTGCGGCCCGCACCAAGTATGTGTTGATTTTAACCATCCGTTTTCGAATATGACTGCACAGTCCATACGATCATCATGGGAGATATGAACTTGATACCATGGTAGAATGGCTCCCAAATATACTATATATAGTACTTTCCTTGTCTTATATACCAAGCGTGGTATGGCGGAGAATCAATGATCGACGGAGTTACCGAGCAGTGTTCGACCTGCTACACCTTTGTAGTATTGATCGGGTTAGCTCAGATCGCAGTTCAAGGAACTCAACCTTCGCGAGGAGCTAAAAATAGATAGGCTCCTACCTCAGGCTTCAGCCTTCGTCTCCTATCTCCTCGCCCGTTTCCTCCCCGTAACACCACCCTTTGTTTACTGCAAAGTCAAGCTCTCTACTCAGATTGATGTGGCCCATATCACAGTGTGCAGCGGATTTCTGTGCAGTGGGGCTTTATACAACTAAATGCCATCATGGACGGCGATCAGGCTGTAGACGCAGGGCCAATTTCGGTGCAAGATGGAGCGCAATACCAGGTGCAGGCTCAAGCTGATCGAGCGGCTACGCCGTTACGTGTTCTAGCGCTTGGTGAGTAGACGCCATAACCATCGGTCTCCTCGAAAGCTCGAGCGAGTTAATGACAAGACGATAGATGGCGGTGGCATACGAGGCTACTCCGAGATCATCATTGTCGAACAACTAATGCAGCGAGTCAAGCAAGAACTCAACCTTGAGACACTGCCCAAGCCGTGCGACTACTTCGATCTTATATGCGGCACAAGTACAGGGGGCATTGTAGCTATTCTGCTAGGCAGGCTGAGGATGAGTGTTAAAGAAGTCAAGGATGTGTACAAGGTTCTTTGCAAGAAGATCTTCAGCAAGCCGAAACATCATGCTAGTGAGGGGAAGTTCTCGGCAGTTAATCTCGAGGAATTGATGAAGGCGACCATTGTGAATTGTGAGGCGTCCAACGTTGCTGGGCGGATCACCACGGCAGAGCGCGCCGATTTGCCTTTATTAGAAACGCCAGACCAGCAGAAATGTAAAGTGTAAGTATTTACATTGCGTACCGGTAACGTGAAATTGACAAGTGTTCAGCTTTGTGTGTACCAGAGCGGCCCAGGCAGCGAGTGGCGTAACCGTCAGGAAGTTTCGAACCTATGATACCGGAGACGTCGGACAAGAGGAAGATCTCCGAATTTGGCAGGCTGGGCGAGCAACCTCAGCCGCACCGACATTCTTCAAGCGCATGAGGATTGGACTCGTGGACTTCCTAGACGGCGGCGTTGGTTTCAACAACCCAGCCCAAACGCTATTAGACGAAATGCATGAGCTGTACGGTGACAGGCCGATCGCATGCATCATCAGTGTTGGCGCTGGTGTTGCGACCATCAAAAGCTATTCTGAGCCAAAGGGCTGGCAGAAACTCATCCCAAAAGAGCTCATAGAGCTCTTCGCTGAAATGGTCACAGATTGTGAGAAGACTGCTCACGAACTTGAGGTGAAGTTTAATCATGCGCCTCAGGTCTACTATCGGTTCAGCGTTCAGAGAGGGCTCGAAAGCATCGGCATGGAGGAATGGAAGAAACTGGGGGAGGTTGAGGCCAAGACCGTGGAGTATCTGCAGCACGATAAGATCAAGAACGAGGTCAGAGCCGCTGCTAAGGCGTTGAGTGCGCCAGTCGCGAGCGGCCTCAAGGCATCTGATTTGCGTAATTAGACCCATTCAATAGTGCCGGTAAATACTTAGCTTACATGTGACAAGGCCTTGGATACCAAGGATGGGCAATAGCGCATACGCCAACGTCCTACATTCTCCCTCTCCAGAATCGATCGTTTGTCGGCCGAGCGGCCGAGCTCGAGGTGCTGCAGCAGAAACTCGTGAAGCGGGAGTGCTACAAGATGTCGATCGTCGGACTCGGCGGCACGGGCAAGACGGAGGTCGCGCTGCAGTTCGCGTACGCCTTGAAGCAGAACCATCCCGACGTCTCCATCTTCTGGGTGGCCGCCCTGAGCATGGAGAGCTTCGAGCAGGCGTGCGCGAAGGCGCTGAGCGCACTGGGCATACCTCGTGCAGCAGACGGAACGGAAGATGCAAAGGTGCTGTTCAGGCAGCACCTGAGTATGGAGCGTGCGGGAACGTGGCTGGTGGTGGTCGACAACGCCGACGACGCGGGCATCCTCTTCGAGAGCGGGGAGGCAAAGGGCGTGGTTGACTATCTGCCACAGAGCGGGAAGGGCGTGATCCTGTTCACCACACGATCGCTAGAGGTAGCAGTGCAGCTGACAGCAGGCAACCATCTCGAACTCGGGCCTATGAGCCAACAGGATGCGGCGTTGTTGTTGAAAAAGCGGCTCGGAGAGGGCATTGTCTACGATGCGGCGACCACGACCGAACTGCTCGACGAGCTGACGTATCTGCCGCTCGCAATTGCGCAGGCCGCTTCCTATCTGGCTATCAAGAAAACGTCTATCGCGAGATATTTGCAGCTGCTGCGCAGCACGGAGCAGGATCTGGTCGAGCTCATGAGCAGAGAGTTCCGCGACGATGGGCGACACACGAACTCGACCAACGCAGTGGCCAAGACGTGGGTGGTGTCGTTCGAGCAAATCTGCACACGCGATGCGGTGGCGGCCGACCTGCTGCTGTTCATTTCGTGCATCGAGTGGAAGGCCATCCCACGGTCCATCCTGCCCAGCACGCAGTCGGACGTGCGGATGGAGGACGCCATCGGCACGCTCTGCGGATACTCGTTCATCACGAGACGAGGCGACGACGACTGGTACGACATGCACCGGCTCGTGCACCTGGCGACGCGCATCTGGCTCCGGCAGCACGGCGATGCGGCGGCGGAGGGCGCAATAGCAATGAGGCATCTGGCACGGATCTTTCCGTCGGACAACCACGCGAACCAGGCAGTGTGGAGGGCGTACTTTCCGCACGCTCTGCGGCTGCTCAGGGCCAGGCATGGGTGGGGCTTGGATGAGAGTGCCAGACTGTCGTTGCGGGTTGGTCGGTGCCTGGTCAAGGAGGGCAGAATCGCGGAGGCAGTGGGATGGCTCGAGGAGTCCTGCAGCCAGAGAGCAAGGCTTGACGAAGACCATCCTTCTCGACTAGCGTCGCAGCGCGCACTCGCTGCAGCATACGAGGCCAACGGACAGGTCAAAGAGGCAGTCAAGCTGCTAGAAAGCGTCGTGGCGATAGAAGCAGAAGTGCTCGCAGAAGACCATCCT